GCACTGTGGCTGCCATCACATCACCCAGGTGGGGCTGCACACTGGTGGTGGTGGAGGGGTCCCCATTACCTGTAAAGTGCTTTGAGTGGAGTGTCCAGAAAAGCGCTATAGAAGCGTAAGCAATTATTATTATTATTACCTGCTTGTGGCCTGGGAGAGGACAGGAGACCGGGTGGGCTCTGTGCGCAGGACCTTCTTCAGCAGCGTCCGAGTGGTGAGGTCAGCCTCCGGGGTATCCATGGCGAGCCTGCCTGAGGGAAGCAAAAACGCACAGATACCTTCAGAAACAACACCAGACGGACAGCAAGGAAGAAAAACTCGAGCAGACAAAAGCAAGCAAGTCGCTTAGTGGGAAAAAAAGCAAGAACGTGTTGTACTACAACGATAATACAAAATATTACACACTGTAAGTTAACAATAACCTTCTATTCGTTTTTTTTATTGGCATCTAAAGCAATATGGCACAATAATAGAGCTATACAACGTCCGGTACGTTTAAATATTCATACATTTCTTCATGCACAAAGCCGGAAGATTTGTAAGTAGATATTCATGATTTCTTATAAAAAACTATTTAATGGATGACATAAAACTAATCGTTTGAAATGAGCACAGAATACTGTATTCAAAATACTGTAAAATACTCACCTTATTTTAAAATACTGCGCAGCTCCCGATTTAAAAACAGCAGATTTTACGGTGCGCGTCAACCATTTGATATATCTTTACATTCGTTACAATTTGAAATATATTACGCCTATTATATATGTGCATTAATTCGTTCGTCAGCTAAAAGTTTATTTTGAATTCTGTTGCAGCTCGCATTTGTACTCCCGCCGGTTTATTCAAATCTACCCCCGCGATAGCTCGCCAGCGGAAGTTAGCCATCGCCCCACGCTCGATGAAAAGCATGGTGGGAATTGTAGTTTTGGGCAGCAATGCCGAGATAGATTCTGCATGATGTATCATCATGATGTATCATGCCTATCAGCAATTCCTCATAAACATTCAGGAATGTTTTTCATTTTACAGTTCAAACCAGAATTAATAAAAAATGTAAACTATATATCCATTGGTCTTTGTCATTTCATGATATTCTGGGGGACTAACGATTTTTAGGTTCAAAATTCAGTCCGTGAAGTTGAATTGTTTCTGTTTTCCTTCTTTTAACTTATTAGGGGATCCATGTAAACAGTTTAAAAAAACTTCATTCTAGTGTATGACAAGAGTAGTGTAATAAAAATTTTCTGTGCTTAATTAGACCATTTACAGCAACAGTTAAACTGCACCAGCTGGAATTCTTACTATGATACAAATCTAGGAACAGATTTCACGTTCCCCTCGTAGGAGAGAAGGCTGTCTTTAGCATTTTAATAACCATATAAGCTCGTCTTTTTTATCAAACCGCATAATATTGTTACCTGATCAATTGTTATAAATGCTTATTAGCTCCATATACAAGTATTTTTCAGTGAGAAAGTTTCGGCGAAACAGAATGTTCCACCACCTCGCTTTTTAACAATGCAGTTAAAAGTGTTCCGATTTCATTGATTTATCTCAAAATACTTCAGTATTTTCAATGGTGTTTCCACGATCCTGGCTGCTGACTTTCAACATCGAGAAAACCTGATTTCATCCTGAGACTTTTACTGCAACAGGCGGCCTGTCAAGCGTGATTAGGTTAATTCGGTTGGATACCCCTGCCTGTAATTTCACTTCAATATAATGACAGCTTGACAACTTTATAGCTCTTCGTCCATTTTTAAACAATTTTTTTTACATCTTTAATTGCTTTGTCCTTTCAACCTGTCAAGTGCATTTTGAAGGGAATAAACGAGAGAGCGCACGCGTTTTCTCGATAGCTTCGCATTAGTTTATGTTATCATTACTTAAAAGAGAGCTTCTTTTAACGAACGGTGAATTTATGTTTTTTCAATAACGACGAAAAAAACCCCAAAAAGCGTCCGCCCCCACTCCAAAAAAAAAAAAAACACTTCTTTCAATCGCCAAGTGCTCTCGGCAGCAAAACAGGAAGTAGTTAGCATTGTGGGATCTGTAGTTCCGCTCTGGAGCTGCTGGGCTCGATAACAGCGCGCGGAGGAGCAAAACAAAACTAAAATCCGAGAAAAAACTTTGGGAGGATTACACAAATATTGGCTAGGCTTCCAAATAAGCATGCCTGGATTCACCTGCTGCGTCCCCGGCTGCTACAACAACTCGCACCGGGATCGGGAGCTGAGATTCTACACCTTCCCCAAGGATCCCGTGCAGAGAGAGATTTGGCTGAAGAACATCTCCCGGGCCGGGGTGAGCGGCTGCTTCAGCACCTTCCAGCCCACCACCGGCCACCGGGTGTGCAGCATCCACTTCCCCGGCGGCAGGAAGACCTACAGCATTCGGGTGCCGACCCTGTTCCCGCTGCGGGGCGTCAACGAGAGGAAGACCCGGAGAGGCAGGAACAAGAAGGTGTCCGCCGCCGCGTACCCCGCTGTCGTCGCCGCGGTCGCTGCCAACGTCGATGCGACCTCCGCGTCCTGCGCCCTGGGCGCCTTCGCCTCCGAGGAAGTCAGCAGCTGCAGCGCCGAGAGCGCCGGCGAGGCGGGGCGGCGGGAGCCGCTCTCGCTGGAGGTGAAGCCCATTGACCTGACCGTGCAAGCCGACGGGTCGTGCGTCGCCGTGGTCGCGGCCAGCTCCTTAGCCCAGACGGGCTGCGACCACCCGCTGCCTGCCGCCGCTCCAGCCGCCCACCAGCTGTCCAAGGGAGAGCTCGCCACCCTCGGGGCGACCGACCACTCGTACTCGCTGTCGTCCGGCACCACGTCCGCGGAGCTGCTGAAGAAACTGAACGAGCAGAGGGACATCATAGCGCTGATGGAGGTCAAAATGAAGGAGATGAAGTCCACGATCCGACAGCTGAAAATCACCGAGGCGAAACTCCGGGAAGAAGTGAGAGACAGGGACAGGATGCTCTCCATGGCGGTGATACGAAAGAAACACGGCATGTAAAACGCCTGCATCGAGACTGAAGGAGAGAAAGAAACCAAAACGACGAACACGCGTTGAAATAACAAACGGAACACAAACTTTTATGGGAAAACAAAAAAACATACCTTCTTTTATAAGGGATCCCCCAAAAATGAAAAAAAAAAAAAGTTGAGTGAACCTTTTTGTACAAAAAAATTTTCATAGCTGAAAAATACTTTACATTTTTTTTCTTTTTAAAAAAGTTCTTTGCTAATGTTAAATAGGTGTAACGCGTTTGAAGGACAGTAGTAAGCATGAGCGCAGCAGATCACCTGGCTCCATCGAAACAGCCGATCGCTTCGTTTACACGCTTCTAGGTTAGACGCTTTATCTCATCGTAATCCGGAGAAACAAGAGGCTCTTTAATAAGACGCGAACTGAAAAGCTTACGAGTTTTCTCAAGGCAGATAAGCGAACTGGGAGACACGCAGAGAGATTCGGGGGTGCGGTAAAGCACGCATAATCACACAGGAGGGAGCCGTGCTTGCGCCGAAATATCGACTCGTTCTGTGTTTTTTTTTGTCTGTTAACATTTTGCTGTCTTTCACAAGACGTGGAGCATTAATTAAATGATGTGCCTAGCGTGTAGCCGAGTCCAGTCGTTCTTAGACCACGGATTGGCCTAATAGTTTGAGTGGTGATGGGTGGTACTCATGTCGAGAGGCTAGTTGTGTAGCCATCATATACATTTCAAAGTTTTATTCCTTTCTCAAGAAGTGGTTTAGTAGCCTTCGCAATTGCACTAATGCGTGACTGATAAGATGTGGTCTAAATGCGGCTTTTGGTGAGAATGTTTTCACTTTTTATACAAAGGTAAATTAATCCCCCCCGTGTCTTTCAAACGGCACGATTTTAATGTCCCCCCCAAAAACGTTGTATATGCATGGGTGGTGAAGATCCACAATCCAGCAAGTGTTTGAGGTCACCCTTTAATCACCAATGTGTAAATACTAGACGTGAGTTGTTCTGATCAATGTAGTCCATCCATCAGTTCATTTAAATCAGGACTGGACAGCCTTGATCCTTGAGAGTTACAAGATATTTTTAATTTCAAATGACCTGTGACCTACTTCATCTGACAGACCCCCCGCTTAAATGGTCAGAACAAAATTGTTCCAAACATTTAGGAACCACAGGTTGAAGGGTGACCCATAAACCCTGTTGCACTGTGGCTCTGCAGAACCAGGGGCCCGGCTACCCCTGATAAAATAACTGCTAACAAAAAGTAAGCTCAGTTCATTTTTGAATGCGTAAAGTTTAGTTTCATTACAAGGACTGATTGTTCTCCCATTTACAGTAGGTATATGTAATAACAAAGTCAAGTACCACTGCTAAAATCCTGAACTGCTCTCTTGTCTTGAGTGCTAATAGTTCTGTTGCTCAGTTACAAACCTCATCCAACTGTTTTTAAGAGTAGGAGCTATAGTCTGTGATCTTATTTTCCTGTAGTTTGGTAATCACAGTTTGTGGGGGGGGAAATCCTTGTGTGTTGAACCATTGTAGGATTTTGGTAGTGAAAGGAGCAGGTGGGCAAAAATGAAATCTGTAAGGTTTAGCTGTCATCTACAAGAAAGATGAGTTTGGTCAACAAAAGTGTCTATTTTACACTTCCTCAAAATGTTACGCACTGTGTACTTTGGTAACGCTGCCCTCCTGAGTGTGTGTGCGTTGTAGAGATTTCTGTTAAAAAAAACAGTCGTGATCTGTGATAGGCTTCCAGAATAAGAAGCGTCTTTGCATTTTTGCAAATCGAACTGAGCTACAATTCGCAAGCCGAATCCGGGCAGGAGTTCGGATGAATCTGTACTGTTCGAAGACACTGTTTGTGGAGGGGATGGGGTAGGAGGTGCAGATTGGAAAGAATCCCTTCCCGGTTTGGATAGGGATAACTGAAAGTACTGGAAACGGCATTTGGGGTGTGTACCTATATTGTCACCCCTGCAGCAGAGCAAGCGTTGCTTTTTGAAAACGTGCTCTCGACGTGATAACACCAGGGACGGGTTTCAGCCTGGGTCCTTGTCCATCTGCGCAGGCCCCTGGTCCAAGGTGTGTAAGTACAGAGGGTGAGAGAGGAGTGAAAGAGCCACTCCTGTCTTTCACAGTTGGTAGCATTTAGGTCTGTGTGTGGCCCATCTCTAGTCCTGGGGGGGGGCTACTGTCTCCTGTTTAGTCAATGAAACAATTATCCTAATTTTGTAAGTAGACATGTAAAAGATTGTTCTTAAAGCGACAGCCGATTGTCTGTAGGATGCACTAAGGTGAAAGCACAGTTGCCCTTAAAACACTTCCAAGCCTGGTTAGAAATATTAGCAGCTGCGCTGTTAATTAAATAATTAGCTGTGCCACTGAGAGCCCGGGTGGATGAAACTCCGGGAAGTGAGTTTGCCACCCCTGGTGAGGGTTGAACAGAATTGGATGGCAACACTTGTTGTGAGACAGCTGGGGGTGGGGCTGTATGTTTGTCTTCCTCTCTGCGGACAGCTTGACGTCCTCCAGTGCAGCTGCTGTACTGGGCTGGTTTGGAGTGGTGAGGGGCTTGTAGCCTTACCGAAATAGTTAGCAAAGCCTGCTCCCCCCACTGCCCTGCTGCCAGAGACCAGTCGGTTTCGCACCAGTGACAGGGGGGGCTTCTCGGACTTCATCGTACCTCAGTTACGTACCCCTCGTCGTGTAAATAAAAACGGACCACGCTTTTTGGTCAGCCTTCGTTTTGGCGAGCGTCCGCTGACTAGCAACGCGTTTCACGTCTTGAAAAAGATATAGCTACCGTGTTTTAAATGTTATTCAGTGTTTCATCATGAATTCAGTGTTACTTTGTACGAGTTTGTGTTTCAAAATGTTTGTCTTCTGGATAGGTTGTGCCGTTGTAAATCCAAAACATGTAAGGAAGGAATTATTGCCACACATTAATACACGTTTCTTTCAGTACTGGGTACCTTATGTTTTGACATAGTTTGTCTTGATGTCAGCCTTAAAAAGCTTAAACCTGAATGTGGAAAGCCGGTGTATCTTTGTATGTCTGTGTGAAAGTGTATTTGTGTTTGGGGATGATGGGGGGGGGGGTTCTTGGAGGTACAAGATAAATGGCTGTCTAGATGTCTAGTTGTTGACAACAGTAAGGGTACTGTGCGTTCAGTGTGTTACCAGGGTCTGTTCTGCATTCGTTTGGATCACAGAGTATGAAATGGTGTCTTTCCTGGCTTTAGTGGTAAAGAAGCTGGTGAGAGAACTGGTGCTCAGCCTCAGATGCACTGTTGAATCAGATACAAAGCAGTTCTGAAGTTTATTTCATTATTCTGTCACTGCTTTTATACTCAAAGATCTGGGGTTACCTCCTGTAAATTCTGTTCGCACATCTTCATGTATAATGTATAATAGGGACTTAGGAATCCTGAATGTGGTTTCATACGCTGTACCTTCAGTGTCCATAGGATGAGAATGGGGTGCAGGCAGTGGAGAATCCTCACTCTGTCATCGTTGTTTGTTGTGGAAGTGGGCTCTTCACAGATTCAAAGAGAGACTGTAGAGGTCAGGGGCTTCAGAACCATTGAGTGCCTTAAGGTTTCAGTGCAGTGGTTTGCCCTGCGACACTGTCGAGGCTCTTGTTCATCGCTGTCCCTGCTGGCGGCGTGGTGAATTGCAGGTCTCGTGCACCTGTGACAGTGGAGAGGGCCTGGTTGTACTGGGGTTGGGTTCAGCTGCACAGTTCTGGTAGCCAAGATTAAAGAGATTCACTTTGTAGTGATGGCTATGCATATTTCACTTGAGCTTGCAGGTGTGTTGTGGAGGTCTAGGGGGACACTATCGCACAGGTTTACTGGAAGAAGGGAAAAATACCAGCGGGATATTCGGAGGACATTGCTGTGTTGGGTTGGAATTGTTTGACAGAATCTGTATGGTGGGTTGAAGCAAGGCACCGAGTGGTCAGACTCTTCAATCAAACCTGCGCCATAGGGAATACTCAGCCTTCAGCGGAACATCCTACACATTTTAGTGTATTCAAAAAACAGCAAACATGAAAAGGGTGCATAATGTACAAAGATGTAAACAGGACACTTTTGCTTTCAGCAAAACTGTTTTTCTTTCTTTTATTAATAAAAAAACTCCTGACCCGGTCATTTGTGATTGCATGTGTCCATCACCTAAGTGGGAAGTTTTTCTGCATCTTTAATCTCTCTCCATCCAGCAGGGGGCAGACTGTTTTTAACACCGGGATGTGGAGACATCGGGAGCTTTGTGTGGAATTTCCTGCTTAAAACTGTGGGAAGTGATGCAGGGGATCAGAGTTTGTCAGACTGTATTTCATTTATTAATGAACTAGTATGGTGACAAGGAAAATGAATATAAATTGAATGCAAATAGTGTGATTTCAGGTCTCCTTCGCCCTTCTCAGATATGTGTGGAAATCGCTTGCCTATGCTGAAACAGATAACTTTTTTTTTTTTACTGGTAATTCTTTTTTGCTTAAAAGAGCTGGGTGACCACTGGGGGGTACAATTGACTGCTGTTAGTTCTTTCCCAGAATTCTCGGCTGCATATTAGTCATATGCCATTACAGAAGGTATTGCTATTTTTTAACACACAAAAAGCCTTTGGCAGTCAGAACCAACCTAATAAGTAAGAACTGTGCAAGTACAGCTGATAAGAAAATCTTATGTAAGGGGGCTGATTGCAGTTATTAAACTGGCACCTGGATGTGAAAGTTTGCAGGATACGCCGAGATCTTGCATCACAGACTTGGCTCCTTTGAAGGCCTGGTGTGTTCTTGCTTTTGTTCCAGTTGAAATTGTCCTAGTTAAATTATGTAATTACCTTATTAATTGGCACTCCTAATCTGACTCCTGCGTGTTTTACAGTTAACTGTGCCTTTAATGAAGAATGTTTTGAGAAATCAACTGTAAAGGGCCTTAAGAAAATAGTGTCTACAGTAGTTAAAAAGTCCTTAAGGTAATTTTTTTAACTGACTGTTCTGATTGGAGTGAACATGGGATGATGGTAGGTTTTCCATACGCTGAGCTTCAAACCTCTCTACCCTATAATATTCTACAAGGGCCCATTGTGTATATATAATTTAAACATTGGCAGTCTTAGGAATGAGTCAGATTTCATATTAATTTTCAAAATTTCAGTGTGTCTTTGGT